TTCCAGGCTCAAGCAATCTTCCTGCCTCAGGCTCCTGAGTAGCTGAGACCACGAGTGCACACCACTATGCCTGGCTAGTTGTTTATGTTTTGAAAAGATGAATACTGACTATATTGCCCGGGCTGGTCTTGAGCTCCTGGGCTCAAGACATCCTCCTGCCTAGGCCCCCTAAAGTACTGGGATTACAGGTGTGAGCCACCATGCCTGGCCATGTTTTGGAAACTTAATCCCTAATGCAACAGTGTTGAGAGGTAGGGCCTTTGGGGAGGTGTTCAGATCAGGAGGGCTCTGCTTTCATGAGTGGATTAACACTATTATAAAAGGGTTTAATGGAAGAAGTTGGACCTTTTTTTTTCCTTCAACTTTCCACCATGTGAGGACATGGTTTTCCTCCCCTCTGGAAGATGCGATGTTCAAGGCTCCATCTTGGAAGCAGAGAGTAGCCCTCACCAGATGCTGACGCCTTGATTGTGGACTTTCCAGCCTCCAGAACTCTGAGAAATAAATTTCTGTTTTTTATAAGTTACCCAGTCTAGCATTCTAATATTATAGTAGTAAAAACAGACTAAAACAGTAGCTTTATTCATAATAGCTGAGAACTGGAAATCAACCAAATGTTCATCAATGGGACTAAAGAAACTGAAGTACATCTACATAGTGGAATATTACTCAGCAAGAAAAAAACAATGAATTATTGATATCTCTAATAACATAGATGAATCTCACAATTATCATGCTGAGTGAAAGAAACCAGACAAAAAGGCTACACTGTGTATTTCATTTATATGAAGTTCTATAGCAAGCAAAACTGCACTATGGTGATAGAAATAAGATCTGTGATGAGCTGGATGAGCAGTCACCACAAAGGGGCAGGAGGGAGTTCTATGAGGTGAAGAAAATGTTCTACATCTTGACTGGATGGTGGGTAAATGGCTTTGTAAGTACCAAAACATAGCCAAATGACTACCAAAACGGGTTCATTTTCTGTACATAATTATACCTCAGTCAAGGTTTTGTTTGTTTGTTTACTTTTTGAGACAGAGTCTTGCTCTGTTGCTCAGGCTGGAGTGCAATGGCATAGTCTTGGCTTCCTGCAAACTCCACCCCTGGGTTCAAGCAATTCTCCTGCCTCAGCCTCCGGAGTAGCTGGGATTATAGACGCCCACCACCACGCCTGGCTACTTTTGTATTTTTGGTAGAGACAACATTTCACCATGTTGGTCAGGCTGATCTGGAACTCCTGACCTCAGGTGATCCACCTGCCTTGGACTCCCCAAGTGCTGGGATTACAGGCGAGAGCCACCATGCCCGCCTTTCACGTTTTATTTATCTTTACATGGGTGGGACAAGATTAGAAAGAGGTATGAAGATTGAAGAGGAGCTTGGGTGTATCCTGCAGCCAATAAGAAACTACCATAGTTGCTTACCAGAAAGTGATAGGATGAAATTAATCAGAATCATTTTAATTCACCAAATAGCTGTTGGGGCAAGGCATTGTGTCAGCGCAGCAATTCTGATGGAAATAATACAAATAAAAGTCATTTATTCTTGTTATGTTTTACCTGTCCTACAACCAATGTACTTCCAAGTACACTGCGTAGACTGGACATCACCCCCAAACAACCTGCTAAGGTAGGAGAAAGGTTTCTAAATCCCTTTTATATAGGAGATGACCGATGCTCAGATTGGCAAGTGAGGAAGTGAGGACTAGACATTCAGATTACAAATTCAACACTCTTTTGTAATTTACACTTAACACATTATAGTTTAAAAACCTACAAATGATTTCTACATATATAACCCCTTTAATATTTCCAACCACCCCTCGAGGTATCAGCTTGTATCCTCATCCTGGGGACAAAGAAAGTGAGATTCAAAAAAGTTTGAAGAATTTCTCAAGAACCTACAGCTAATCAAGTTCAGAGGTTAGTACTGGGACCTGGCTTTTCAGATTCCACATCTAACCTGGCTCCACCTCACGGCCTCTCTGAGTCTTTGTTCTACAGATCAGAGCTTTGCCAGGCTCAGAGCCACAGCTTCTGTGTGAGCCATCCCTGCCGAAGCTCTTCACAGCCCACTCAGACCTAGAGACAGCCACTGTGGCCAGACTCGGGTCCCTTGACTTCTTCTACTCTTTGCTCTCTGAGCTGTGGCTCAGGCTGAAGTGTAGTAGCTACAGCCTCAACCTCCAGGGCTCAAGGGATCCTCCCACCTCAGCTTCCCAAGTGGCTGGGACCAAACACATACCACCATGCCCAGCTAATTTTGTTTTTGTTTTTGTTGTTTTGTAGAGAGGGAGTCTCACTATGTTGGCCAAGATGATGTTGACTCCAGATATCAAGTGATCCATCCGCCTCCACCTCTCACAGTGCTGGGATTACAGACATGAGCCACAGCACCCAGCCTACTCCTTCCACTCTTAAAACTGTCACAAAAGACTTGGTGTGTTCTTACCACCAAAAAAAAAGTAAATATGAGTGGTGATGGATATGCTAATTAGCTTGATTATGGTGATCATTTCATAATGTATGCATATATAAAACATCACATTGTACACCTAAAATATATACAATATTTATTTTCCAATTATGCCTCAATAAAGCTGAAAACAAAATCATTTAATATGAAAGAACTTTTTGGGCCAGGCACAGTAGCTGATGCCTGTAATCCCAGGACTTTGGGAGGCCGAGGCAGTTGGGTTGCCTGAGTCCCAGGAGTTTGAGACAAGCCTGGGCAACATGGTGAAACTACACCTCTACAAAAAATACAAAAATTACCTGGACATGGTAGCTTTCATCTGTAGTCTCAGCTACTCAGGAGGCTGAGGTGGGAGGATCTCCTAAGCCCAGGAGGTCAAGGCTGCAGTGAGCCAAGATCGTGCCACTGCACTACAGCCTGGGTAACACAGTGATACCCTGTATCAAAAGAAAAGAAAAGAAAAAAAAGAAAAAAAGTAAAGAAAAGAAAGCTGGGCGCAGTGGCTCATGCCTATAATCCTAGCACTTTGGGAGGCTGAGGCGGGCAGATCACCTGAGGTCAGGAGTTTGAGACCAGCCCCACCAACTTGAGCTTTAGTAGAGAAACCCCATCTCTACTGAAAATACAAAAAAAATTAGCCGGGCATGGCTCATCCCTGTAATCCCAGCTACTCAGGAGGCTGAGGCAGGAGAATCCCTTGAACCTGGGAGGCAGAGGTTGTGGTGAGCTGAGATTGCACCATTGCACTCCAGCCTGGGCAACAAGAACAAAACTCCATCTCAGAAAAAAAAACAAAAAAGGAATAGAAAGAAGGAAGGAAGGAAGGAGGGAAGGAAGGAAGGAAGGAAGAAAGAGAGAAAAAGAAAGGATTTTTCCTTTCTGGCTTAGACTAGGTTTTATTCATCTCAATTTCCCTTTCTCTCTCTCTCTTATTACTTCAAATCTTTATTTATTTATTTTGATGGAATGCTCCTTGAATTTGCATGTCATCCTAATGAAGAGGCCATGTTCATTTTCTCTGCATTGTTCTAATTTGTAGTATATGTGCTGTGGAACCTAGCCTAAATCTTCATTGGTTTTTAAAAATTATTATAAAAGTATACATTCTTATTGCAGAAACCAAATCAAACCAAAGTAATATAAACATTTATGACTTAGATTTTGGGGGAATGGTAAATGCCTCAAATTTCAATAGAGAGTCGTTTACAATGGAAACAAATTACATGACACTCTGTAAAAAGTGTTGTGGTTGTTGAAAAAGTGACACCCTGCCTGCTTAACTTGTCTCCATCATCACTGGATCCCTGAAGCCATGTGAGTTTGCAACCCCTTCTGGATGCTCAGTGCTCATCCTTGGACTGACTACTCCCCTCATCGGGGTGGGGAAAAATCCAGCTAACATTTACTGGTCCTTGCTACGAACTAAGTGTCTTTTCACGTATTTTGTCATCAGACATAATACAAGATAAGGTACTGCTCTCTTTATTTTCCAGATAAGGGCGTGGGGAGTTGAAGCTCAAGGTCACATAGTGCAAGGTCAGCACTAGTGAATACAGGACTCTAGTCAAACGTAGAAATTTAATTCTGAACCCTGTGCATTTAACTCTAGACTGTACTGCCTTCCTAAAGAGACCCAAGCCATGCTTTATAGCGACATTGAAGGATAAAGGCAGGTCCAGCAAAGGGTCTAACATCCATGCAAACCTCCCTGGAAAGCTTAGGCTCCAATAGGGATTCTTGGTTTCACATGGAATAAGTCCTGAATGGGTACCTTTCAGATTGTGTGACAAGTCAAGGGAAAGATATTCAGGGGGAGGGGACGGGACAATAGAAAAGCAAAGTCTGCTTAGCACGCTCCGTGTTGATGATTTCTGTTTCTAGAGTCATCAAGTGTCATTTCCTTCCTTCCTTCCTCCCTCCCTTTCTTCCTTTCTTCCTTCTCAATCTCTCCCTTTTCATCCAACTGAAACCTGTGGGAAATGCTGATATCTTCCTGAGCTGAAACCTTTTAAAAATTTTTTAATCTGATTTCAGAGAGGCATGTGTTGATCCCTCCATTGTCTATGATGGAACAAAATATCAGACCTGTAATTATCTCTTCTCCTGGCAGGCCTTAAGATAAAACAGACAGGAAGACCTGAGCGGATTCTTCTCAGATGCCACCTCTTAGCACTGGGCTTTGCGAGCCTGTTATTTGGGGCGCTGCAGAAGGCAAGGCCCTATCCCGCCAAGGATCAATGGGAAAATAAGCAGTTGCTTGTGAATAGACTGCGGTCTCCTGCAGTTGTCATGCCTCCTTGGTAATGGCTATTTATCCCCACTTAATTGCTACCTGGGTTCCCCTCATTCTGTGCTGGCTGGCACTTCCCACCCCTGCCACCCTGGGCAAACTCAGGGCAGCCTGCAGAGGTGAGGCATGCCTGCCTGCCAGCCCCTTCACAGAAGCAGAGGATGCTGGTGACCTCAGCAAGGCTGACAGCGGTGACACCACCTTTTACTGCCTCTCTGCTGGGTGATGTTACCTTGATCATCAATGCCTCATGACAGCTGTACTGGTTCAGCCCTGGGATCTTCTTGCCTGTCATGCTGAGTGTCCAGGTGGTTTGTGGGTAGACCTGAGTGATGGTACTTCTGTTTGACAACAAACAGTCTGAAGCAGAAAAAAATAAAAATAAAAAAAAGTGTGTTCCTGGAAGGTGGAGGAGCACAGAGAACTTCAGAAGAAGGGTATCTAAGCCCATCCATGTCTGGATTTCTTGTTATGTGATATGATAAATGGATACCCCTAAAATAAGGAGAGAAACACATTAGTACCTAAGTAAAAATCCCACAGAAAATATAATAAGCCAAACCACACATATAGCATGAGTAAACTTGACAAATATAAACTAGCTTGAACTTGGAAAATCAAATCCTGTAATTTATAATCATCAAGAAGAGACAACTCACAGAATGGTAGAAAATATTTGTATATTGTCTACCAGACAGTGGCCTAGTATCCAAAATATATAAAGAACAATGACAGCTTAGCAATAGAAAAACAATGCTAGCCTGACAAAGGCAAGGCAAAAACAAAAAAAGATAATTCAATTTACAAAGATTTGAACAGACATTTCTACAAAGAAAATATACAAAGGGACGGAGCATAGTGCCTCACACAAGTAATTCCAGTACTTCAGGAGGCTGAGGACGGAGGAATCTTTGAGGCCATGAGTTTGAGACCAGCCTGGGCAATGTACCGAGACCTCATCTTTACTAAAAGAAAAAAAATTAGCTGAGCATCGTGCCTGGTGCCAGTAATTCCAGCTACTTGGGAGGCTGTGGTGGGATGACGGCTTGAACTCAGGAATTTGAGGCTGCAGTGGGCTGTGATTGAGCCACTGTACTCCAGCCCGAGCAACAGAACCACACTCTGTCTCAAAAAATAAATTAAATAAATAAATAATGAAAATGGCCAATAAGCACATGAAACAATATTCAACACAATCATTGAGAAAATGCAAATCAAAATTCCAATGGGTTGCCATTTCATATGCACCAAGATGGCTATAATCAGACATATAGACAACGATAAGTGTAGACAAGGGAAAATCAGAACCTCATGCATTGCTGCTGAGAATGTAAAATGGTGCAGCCACTTACATGCTGGAAAAAGTATAGCACTGCTTCAAAAGTCAAACATAGAATTACTATACAATCTTATGCATAGAATTGATCAGCACTTCTACTCTGAGTTCATGAGAACTGTAAACGTTATGTCTACACAAAAACTTGAAGATGAATATTCGTAGCTCATTATTTATAATAGCCAGCAAGTGTAAACAGTCCAAATGTCTATCATCAGATGAGTGGATAAATAAAATGTAGTACAGGTTGAGTATTCCAAATCTGAAAATCTGAAATATAAAATCTGAAACTTTTTGAGCACTGACATGATGCTCAAAGGAAATGTTGTTTGGAACATTTAGAATTTTGGATTTTTGGAGTTGGGATGCTCAACCGGTAAGTATAATGCAAATATTCCCAATTTTTTTTTTTTTGAGACAGAGTTTCACTCTTGTTGCCCAAGCTGGGGTGCAATGGCATGATCTTGGCTCACTGCAACCTCTGCCTCCCGAGTTCAAGTTATTCTCTTGCCCCAGCCTCCCGAGTAGCTGGGATTACAGGCATATGCCACCACACCCGGCTAATTTTGTATTTTTAGTAGAGACAGGGTTTCTCCATGTTGGTCATGCTGGTCTCGAACTCCCAACCTCAGGTGATCCACCCACCTCGGCCTCCTAAAGTGCTGGGATTACAGGCATGAGCCACCACACCCAGCCCAGATTTTTTAAAAATCCCAAATTTGAAACATTTCTATTCCCAAGCATTTTGAATAAAGGCTACTCAACCTGTATATTTATACAATCGAATATTATGGAGTCATGAAAACGAATTTGGTATGATACATACCACACTGTGGATAAGCCTTAAAAGCATTATGCCACAGGTGGGCATGGTGGCTCAAGCCTATAATCCCAGCACTTTGGGAGGCCAAAGCAGGTAGATCACTTGAGATCAGGAGTTCAAGACCAGCATGGCCAACATGGTGAAACCCCGTCTCTACTGAAAACACAAAAATTAGCCAGGCATGATGGTGCATGCCTGTAATCCCAGCTACTTGGGAGGCTAGAGCACGAGAATCTCTTGATCCCGGCAGGCGCAGGTCTCAGTGAACCAAGATCGCCTGAGCAACAAAGTAAGACTCTTGTCTCAAGACAAAACAAAACAAAACAAAACACATTATGCTAAGTGAAAGAAGCCAGTTGCAAAAGGCCAACAGTGTATGACTCCATTTACATTCATATGAAATGTCCAGAATAGGCAAATCCATGGAGACAGAATACATTAGTGATTGCCAGGGGCTGAGGGAGGAAGAAATGGGGAGTGACTGCTGATGAGTATGAGGATTTTGGGGGGTTGATGAAAGATTCTCAAATGAGATGGTAGTTGATTGCACAACTTTATGAAGGCACTAAAAGCTACCAAGTAGTACACTTCTAAAGCATGACTTTTATGGTATGCAAATTACTTATCAATTTTTTTAAGTCTAGGGCACAGTTCTCAATCTCAAATGGCTGACAGTCTTCAGTGTTCAAACATTGCTGTTCGACATCATCTAATTATCAATAATTTATGTTTTTATTTTCTTCTTTTTTTTTTTGAAGCATGGTGGTTTGTATATGTTTTTATTTTCTGAGATGACCACAAGTCACATGATTCTTTTTTTTTTTTTTTTT